AGTTCTTGTTGTTTCTCTTAAGGCTTGTTGCCTCCTAGGGTCAAGTGTTTTCCCTTTCTCGTGCCTCTTAAGTCTATCGTTGTAGGCTTCAACGATTGTAACCATTTGACTATCGTGTACTCTTATTTGAGTTTTATCTAAGTTGTTTGTTTGCCGTTTGAAAAACAAAAATAATAATAATAATAATAAGTTCCTTTGAAGTGACCAAGAGACGGAGAAGATATAAAATACATCTACCTGATCCTTTTTTCGGATAATCATGAATCTAGAAGGGCCGGGAATCTCTTTCCATCTATAAAGACCTTGCAGGACAAGTAATTGAGATGTATAAATATCTCATTTGCATAAAGGTAACTCTAATACATGAATAGACGAGACCAGGTAGCTCAGATAGTAACACTCTTCACTTGGGACTAAGTCCGAGCACTTTTCACTTGGCCAACAAGTCTTGAATTTGAGTCATTCAGAAGATGAGTGAGCAATTACTATTGATTCTCTTTTCGAAAAATAAAAATTAATAATTGGTGAATAGCGAGTTCTTACGCCGGGTACTTCCCATTGCTTTCCAGGTGATCAAAAGATTTGAGTTCTTAACAAAACCTGAAGGAAGGAACTCAATTGAACCGGTGTGGATCACATCAGTCCCAATGATACTGCCTAAAATGAAGACAAATTACACTTGGGTAAAATCTTTCTTTACAGTGAATGACTATACACCAAGGTCCACGAAAGATAATTATTATTCGAGGAAGAATGTCACTGATAACTGTAGAATTCAGGTAAACATCATGTCAGATAAGAAACTGATTAGAATAAATAAATTTCAAAATCGACTAATTCAACAATGGAGGCACAAAAAAATCTTTCAGGTACATACACTAATAGAACTATTGTAAACTATATATGAACCCACTTCAGTGGATTCACAGCAGCACACAAATATTACAGATTACTATCTGTTATCCAATTAGATACACTCCAGATCAATCTACAGAGGCAGATGAAATGACGAAAAAAAAAAACAACGGCGAACATGCTTAATTCACCTATCACCATTTAAGTTGGCTTCCTCTTCCTTCCAAGAACAGGAGCTATTTGGAACCTTGGCCCTCCCGTACGCCACTTCTTAAACGCGGCTATCGAGCATTGACCAGCTTCGTACACTTTCAAAAAAATGAATTACGTACAAATACATAGCCATCAGTACAAAATCCTTCCAACTGAAAACAGACACGACAGGGAACAGGAAAACAAATCGATCGAATTCCTAATCATAGTATCCAAAAGATTCAAATGTGCTCACATTTTGTTTCCTCATTAGTCAGAAGTGTCAAGTATTTTGGGGCCACTGCCATTGTGAGAGTATGTGCTTTAACTAGGACCTCCCTGTATCTTATCCGAAACGCCACAAGAAGGAAAGGCCCGATGGTTTTGTCACCAATTCTGTTTCACAACACAATATGAAGCACATCTTTAGCAATAACAACATTATGTGCTAGAGCACAATCCAGTGTATTAATCACATTATTACTGATGTAGATGGAAAACTAGACATGATATAGCTCTATATTTGCTCGTTCGTGCTCATGCGTCCAATCTGTCATGCAATTTGCCAATTTCTCACTAATTCTACACATATTACCACAAGTAATAAAAAACGGACGTGCTAACACGCACATTACGACAACAGCCGTTGGCGTCTTGTACTTTCTTTCTTGCTTGTTTATCTCCCAAAAGTAACGGAATACGTGGTTTGATGCAGGTAAAAGTTCAGGGTGAAATTTCAGAAAATTGACCAATAGGAAGAAAGGAACTTACAGTGGTCCTAGTTTACATCCTAATTCATAAAAATAGGGGCATCGAGTTCTTAGATCCACATGTGCAGCATCAGCCGCTATTTCTTCTCGTGTTTTAGATCTGCATGGAAAAAAGAGAAACTGAGCACATAAGAACAGACGAGGAAGAGAGAAAATAAATCCAAAAATCCACAACATAATGTAGGAATTATCAATGAAATCTGAACAAACGTTTCTGCTTTTTTGGAGGGCTCAAATTGTTATCACTTAAGTGGAGAACAGGTGAAGATTCAAGATCGTAGCCGGAACGAGTTAGGGTATACTTGAACATATTCTGTATGACTTCATTTTTCATGCATTGGCTTCTGTGAAGGAATTCAGATCCATTTCGCATTTTCTTTGGCTTTCAGCCCAGATTTCGCAGAAAATGATAAAAATATTTCAAAATAAAAGTAGGGAACACAAACAACTCAAGATGCATCACTTCCACAACTTTACATCAGGAATGAAAGCAAAAACTAGGATTCTAAAATGAGATATTACTCTCTGTCAAAACAAGAGGGGACCCTTATCGATATAAGCTGCCTCAGATACAACTCACGGACCAACCAGAAGGGCAATTCTATCCTGGAACCAGACTCCACCTAAAAATTGAGGAAATAGAGAATCTCGGAGTAAGATAATGAGTACTTTCTGATACTCAATCCACTAGAATACCTTACTCAGCTTAAACTATTGCAGAAAGTACCCAGCACCATTTGCACTTTTACCTTATCAGTATCATCACTTGAATCAAAAAGCCCCACACCATTTGCATTATGTTGGAACACCGATGGGACAAGCTGAAATATGAAAACCAGAGGCAAACCATAAACATACCTCATATATATAACTATTTTTCATTGGGGAAAATGTTGCAGAATAGGTTTCCAAAAAAAAAAATAAAAAAATTACCTCTTCCTCAGCCAATATATCATCGATATCATAATAATTAGCCATGTTCTGTCTCTAATATGATATCCACCTCCAAAATAAGTTGCCCAAATCTGCGATATGCTTAAAAAGGACAAAAATAAAGGGAAAGAAACTCCAAGTTCAAGAAATAAACAGAGACAATGTATGAACATAATATCAACATGTATAAAATTAAAATTGACACACAAGACACACACGAGCTACGACAGAGTGGTTCCAAAATTAAGTAATTCAATTGCAGGAAAAATCTTGAAATGAGCGGGCGGGTCCATAGCTAAATCTGGGCAAGAGACGATTCAAACATTTTTAAGGAACCTTCCCTTCCCTGCAGATTATTAGGCTTAAGGCAACATTTCAGAAATTGCACCTAACTTGGGATTGATAAACATATAATATAAATTTAAAAAAAAATCACAGATAAAAATATATGAATGGACATCTGGAAATTCCATGTATTATCATCAAAATATAGTTCTTCAAGATTTAACTATCCTGAAGGCATAAGCAAAAGCATTCAGTCAAATCTCTCAATTCATACAAATATCAAAAAAAATAAAAAATAAATAAATAAATAAATCACACATATCACAATATCTGCAAGCAATTAACCATTCCAATATATTAATGAATTCAAAAAGAAATGAAAAAAAAAAAAAAAAA